CACACACACACACACACAGGGACTCACCGTGGCCGAGGTCAGGCCGCTGTCTGTGAGCGTGAGGTGGTGCGGCTCCCACCTCCGCAGGAACTTGGAGGTGAGGATCTTGCTGAGGAAGGTGCGGGGGTGCTTGACCACGCACACCTGGATGTCCCCCTCGTGGAGCAGCTTGTATCGCATCCCGCTGCTGCTGCAGTGGTGCAGGCTCCTCTTGCACGGCCCCGCACCCAGCTTGGTGTTGTTGTTGCCCTCCGACATCTCCCCCAGCAGCGGCTTGTTCTCCTCGCACTGATAAAACTGGTTGTTGTGCAGCTCGTTTCCTCCTCCACCACCTCCTCCGCCTCCTCCTCCGCCGCTGCCACTGTTGAAATCCATGGTTCGGTTAAATCCAACAGTTTATTGTCTCCAAATGTTTGCGTCACGGAGCGCAGGGCCGAGGCGTCGCGCCGATGCCAAAATCCGACATGTACATGAAACAGAGGAGAAATGGATCGAGCTGAGTGAGTGTGTGTGTGTGTGTGTGTGTGTGGAGGGGGGGGGGGGGGGACCTACCTAAAAAAAAAAAACACGACCTCAATGAGGCCGAGGAAACGCCGCCGAGCTCCGGGTTATGACAGGAGATCCAGCCGGAGGAAGGTTTTCATGCTACAGTGCAAATAATCCACCATTTTCCAGCGCGCACAATGAGCCATGAATTGTCTCCGCGGTGCGTCTCGCCTCCCCCACCAGCACCAGCTCCAGAGAGCTATCAACACGTTAGGGCCATGGCCTTATCCAGCGCGTCCGCCCCGGTGCCAAACGGGATAATCCAGAGCGCACGACGCACGGGAACCAGTCACACACGGTGGATATATCCAATGGCGGCGGCTCCGGGCTCCTCCGCGGGGTTTAGCGGTCGTTACAAGCTCCCTGGCTCGGTTTCCTTTTATTCAGCCTTTTCCTCCGTCTCGCTGTAGGAGAGCCAACACTCTCCGGCAGCGCGCAGCCCGATTGGTCCCCGCTCGTTCATGTGATACCGGACTGACGTCAATGGGGAGGCGAGCGGATGAGCCGTGCGTCTTTGTGCCTGACTGTCTGCTGAGGGCGCGCGCCCCCCCCCCCCTTCTCATTTCAACACACACAACATACAACACACATGTAGACACACATTCAAACACACACTCGTAGAGACACATTTAAACACACATGTAGACACACACACGTAAAAACACACATTTAAACACACACACGTACACACACATGTAGAAACACACGTGTAAACACACACGTAGACACACATACATGTAAACAAACATACATATAGATGCACAACATATTTACAAACATATATGTAAACACACACACATGTAGACACATATTTAAACACACGCGTAGACACACACATTTAGACACACATGTAAACAAACATACATGTAGATGCACATATGTAGATACACACATTTAAACACACACAGACACACACATGTAAACACACACACAGGTAGGTGCACACATGTCAACACACACACATGTGTAGATTCACGCATGTAAACAAACATGTAGACACACACACATGTAAACAAACATGTGGACACACACACATGTCAACACACACARGTKAACACACAKACGTGTAGATTCARYCATGTAAWCAAACATGTAGACACACACATGTCAGTGTCATGTCAGTGTCATGTCAGTGAGTCCAAACGTCCTCACTCTGTATTTTATTGCAGAATCATCAGGTTTTGTCTTTGTCTCAAATCTGCTCGTCTTTAATTTGAACGTCACCGAACGTGAGGATCAGTTTCTTAACGTGATCGGAGCGATGCTACTCACCGCTCACTACACAACTACACAACTACACACAAAGTACTTCCAGTTCCTCTCAGTATTTAGAACGAAACCTGAGGTTCAGGTTGAACTGGACATGGCAGGAATGTTTTAGTCGTTTGGGCGGCAGAACAAAGTAAAACAATAAGTGATGTTCACGTGAAAATTCAATATGGATATTCAAGGCCCCCAGAGGATGATCCCTCATGTTGTTGAACACATGATGTTACAACCAGAGCCACGGTCGGGTCAAACTTTCTGTTCGTCCGATTCTTGAACTTCTGTTAACTCAAGTTTTCTTTCTATTATTTCACATATTGTTGTTTTATTTATAAACATTAAAACTGGTCCCATGTTGTTATTCGTACTTTACGTCTTTGAGAAGCTGACGGACATTTCACATACAAACTGAAAAGTCGCCCTCGGGTCAAAATTGTCTGATACAGATAAATGCCTGTGGAAAAAGAAAAATCTGACGTGATGACATCAGCGTCTGAAACTCCCGGAAGAATGATCCCGGGGGGGGGGGGCAGGGTGAGAGATCTGACATCACAGGCCTCAGTCTCACATCTCCACGGTCCCGACGCTCAACCAACAACAACAACCAGCCCAGGGGTTTCTTCATGTTCCCAGCAGGACGTCCCACAGGCGTCCTCCTGGATTCTTAGCTTCTCCTCTTGTTTCCAACGTCCCCCATCAGCATCGTCCTCTCCCCCGCCACTCCTGCCAGGAGACAAGTTATGACACGACGACCAAACTGGACGCGTCATCCTGATATTGCAAGTCAGAGACAGAGTGTGGTAAGAATCTCTGAGACAAACTGATGCATCCATTAGGAAATAATGGAAATGTCTTTATTCAATATTTGACAACATGGAAATCCAGAATTATTTAACTTGTGAATAAGATTCATATCAATCAATGCAAAGATATGCGAAGGTTTAAACGGATTAGAACTAGAAATAAATGTTTATATTTTAAGGTCAGAGGAAAGAAAAGGATTTTGTTGATGACATTTGCTTCTTTAAATTGTTCTTTAAACGGAGCTGTCTGATCTATTTGACTCTGAATGGACCATCATTTACAGAGTTAGCAGCATATGTCTATTTTCATTTAGTCTATTTCAGAATGTCACATGTCCAGGAGGTTTTTTCCTAAATAACCTATTATAAATAAGACAGTTTTAAAATGAACTAAATTGAAGAAATGAGGATTTAAAGTGAGTCCGTGTAACTTTTGAACATCATTTAAAAACACGAGACAACAGAAGAAGAAGAAAAAGAAGAAGAAGAAGAAATTGTCAGGAAATCTAATCATCAGCTGAGGCTGTGACACGTGTCCTGACATATCCGGTGAGGAACATTCTGCTCCGTAACAAACTGCTGATAAAATGAACATCTAATCAGAGGAACCCTCACTTAGAGCGAGACGCTGGACGATCCACAGTCAGTGTGAAGTTCACTCAACTTCTCCTGAGGTAAAAACTCAACTGTCGTTAACGTGCGGTTGTTATGGACCACAGGACGTTTAACGTCCACGACAGGCAACTCACTGTTGGACTTCCACATGACTTCTGGTGAATATTCATGGTCCCCTGCAGATGGACCCTGATCAACATCCTGACCTCTGGTGCCACCATCAGATCGGATTTATATTTGAATGTAATCTAAACTCTAACGGCTATAGATTGAAATAAAATGTTTTAACTAATATATGATGTACTTTTCTAATACACTCAGTTAACCAACCGAATATTACATATACGTGTCTTTACACACACACACACATATTCAGCTTGTGTGTACGTGTTTATAGGAGTGTGCAGAGGAAGTGAGGCAGGCGTGAGGGCTAAAATTAGTGGGAAGTGTGTGTGTGCGTCTGAGAGTAAAGCATGCACTAATGGACAAT